GGCGAAGCCAGAGGCAGGCCGAAAGAGTTGAAAGTGTTGACGTGACTGCTGTGTCCTGTGGCCTTTGTCCCCGATGTGTGTTGTGTGTGTGTGCATACACACACTCGCACAACACTCGACACTCACTCTTGGACCAGGACTAGGGAAAATTGTCAGAATGTTTTGTATTTTCCAAATTTATTGCCGGTGGCAGCATTTTGTTGTCGCTGCGACCATAGATTATCTCATCGTTTAGAAGGGCCTAATATGCGCCGGAGGCAGTCGCACAATATGATTTATCGCCAAGCTACCGATATATGATCGTTCCGGCTTGGCCTTACCTTTATCCTTTACCTTTATGCCTTTATGCCTTAATACCTTATCCCTGCCAGCGCTTGACACTACCGCTTCCAGTGGCTCTCCAGCTGCGAGCCAAACATTTTTAATTACACTTTTTACAAGAAAATTAAATGGCAACATGTCATCACTAATTAAATTGTTCTTCTTTTCGGTCTGCCTCCTTCTCTCGTCCTGCGAGTGTGTGTGTTTGTGAGTGTGTGGGAAGCGATAGCTGGAAAGGATGGGAATGGGGAGACCGGGGACTGGGGACTGGGGAAAGGGTTGCGCTAGATGATGACTGCGTTGATAATGCGAGGGAAATACATTTATCAAGCGGAGTGGCAATAGTGCGGCCTGCGGCACGGGCTATTATGTTGTCCAGGCCAAGCAAAGGGTCATAAACGGTAGCTGGTCAGGATATGTAAGCCATATCTGTCGCCAGCTAATGATCAGTAATTGCAATTAAAAATATTTACTATCTATGCAAATCGAGTGTGTTTCCACACAAGCTAATTAATATAAATTGGAGGAGGATAATTCTAGTTAATGAGGAAAATTAGGTATTAAGATCAATAATAATAAAAGAAGACTTAATGTAAAAATGTATATCGATTCAATAAAATTTAATTTTAATCTTTTAAGAACTATAGCAAATATTAATATTATATCTGGAGGAATTTCTAGAACGATTGTTCTTAAAGTGGTTTTTAAATCAAAATCGATGTTTTTCTATCTTAAAACTTGTTATATATATTTATATATATATATATTAATGAAAGTATTAAACGCCGAAGTTGTACTTACGTGACGAAAATGCTTTTGCACTAGCATAATCCTTCTAAGTGTTTTTTTTTTTCGAAATTTCCTGAAAATGTGATATTTATATAAGAATGCAGTAAACCCCGAACTAAATTTTAAATATGTTCAATTGATATTGTGACCAATTTCTAATATGTTATATAATCCAATAGTGGACTTTTTACCATTTATTCGTATTCCATCTATTAAGAAAATCTCGATGCTTTCCATCTTGGTGTTAAACATTAACATTTGAAAATTAATTAAGTTTTAACTTTAAGATATGCCTTAAAATAACAATACGGAAATAAGCCAAAATCTATGATTTCGTATTCGATTTCGTATTTATTTCGTGAAAAATATATTAAAATATATATGTATATATAAATTCTGTTATTATATAAAATAAAATACAAATGAATCAGGTAAAAATCTATTTGGATAAAGATAAATCTATATATAATATTTATTTTTTAGCTATTAATAAAGAAAATGTCAATAAAAGTTTAATTGAAGTTAATTCAGCAATTTTGTATTAAATTCAAAAATGGCGGTAAACTGTTCCTTGACCAACACTGGCTGTAAATCAGTACAATTAATGTGGTCAGTCGCCGGGAAGCCAAAAATCCCAAAACACGCTCCTAATACGGTCACAATGGCTTTATCTGGACACAAACCAGTACGTAAGAATAGTACGTTTATGTTCAGTTTCGACGTTTGATTTGTGCATATCTGAAAAATATATAGAAATATAGGAAAATGGAGAGATTTAACGAATTGAGCTCTTGATTTACCATTCAATGTCTTATATCTATATTTTTATCAATATCTATTCTATTCTATTCTATCAATTTCTAGAAGAAACATTAGAACATTAGAACATAAAAACTTATAAGCTTTAATAATAATTAATAAATTTTATTTTTAATAAATAGTAGCAGAGATATTATTTAATTATTATTATTTTATTTTTTTAATTGCAAGCTTAATGGCTTTTCCATTTCTAAAAATGCTACATCTGGCCAATAATTGTCTAAACTGGCAACACTGCCGCACAAGTTCGGTCTGCAAACCAGGCTAGACCTGACAAAAATCTATATTTTCCACTATCGATTTTCTCGATGTTTTTACAAATTTAATACCGATACTATCGATTTGTTAAGACATGCACATATATATATTACTCTAAAAAATTACTATTATAATGCCTTCTTAACAACCGATTAAAACGCCCTTGGTTAGCGATAACAATACCTAGCGTGTTTTATTTTTTGAAAGTGTACATAAGATAAACCCTAACTTAAAATACCTTACGAGGATTAATAATTAGTATTAATTATCATTACCGTTAAATAAAATATATTTCATATGATGTTTACGAATTATCTTAATATTAAAGAGTACAAAACGAAATGAAAGAATTTATAAAATGGCTTTTAAGCCTAGTACTAGTAAACCAAGAATTTCAAAACATGGATAGCGCAAAAAACAAAAATCGATGTTTTGAAAACAATATCCAAACATCGATAGTATCGATAGTGCTGTGATGTATTGCCAGCACTATAGCTCATTTTAATCGATGTTGCAGCATCACTAATTTCGTGGAACGGACTTGCCATACGAAATAAGGTTAGTACAATTTTACAAAAAAAATTTGCCTGGTCGCATTATTATTATCATTGCGAACCGAGTAAAAAGTCACGGCCTACTCAGGTACAAGTGGGTTTCCAAATTATAGCCACAAAATTTTCCACGATGCGAGAGAAAACTGATTAGATTTGTGTATGTGTATCCGTGTGTGTGTAGCTGTGTCTGTGCACGTCCTCGTTTCTTTGACGGGGAAAAAGTCAAGATGTGAAATCAATAAAAGTGCGGAAAACCCGAAGGCTGCATCGTCACTGGAAAAAGTGATGAATATACAGCCGAAAACTGAGGCAAACAAGAACTTAAATCAAATGAATCACTCAGAAAGGCACACAAAGAAAGTTTTGCCAGCATGGGTGTGTGAGTGTAGGTACACATATTCATGCAACAAAATGGCGGCGGCACTTCGGAAAATCTCAAATGCTGTTGACGTTGCGGCCGTTAGTTATCTGTCCCGCTCTCTCTATATTTCTCTCCCCCCGGGGAAGACACCCACCCCTCGCATTGAATTTTCCCTATTTTACAGCCTCACTTTGTGGCGTGTGTCTTGCTCTCCGATCTCTTCCGTATTAAGCACGAGTGTGTGTGCACCAGAAGAGGCCGAGTGCGTTTCCATAGATCGATTGTTTTTAAGCAATATTTCCCCTTGAAACAACCTAAAAAGACTTGGCGATGTGGGTGTGCCACTTGGCCAGTTAAATATTCAGACGCGGCCCCAGCAAACACTTGTACACGAGCCGAGCGCTCGAATTGAGGTCAAAATCATCCACAACTGGGACGGGACGGCAGCGGGAGTGGGCGGGTGTACTTCCTCGGGTCGGGGTCGACGCCTCGCTGCAACGGGGTGGGTTTTTTCGCATTGGGGTGTTTAGTTTATTTGAGGACTTAGGAACGGAGGGGAGAGGGCATTATTGCAGGAGAATCGAAAATATGTATGTACCCGCGCACACACAGAGACGGGGCTTGGAGACAAAGACAGTGCAGGGTTGTTCCCGCAACACATACATAGGCACAAGCACCTCACACACAACTGTGAAGAAAGAGACTACCGACGACGTCTATCCCCAATCAATTTAGGCAGCAAATAAGTACCAGCAGTGAGTCACACGCTAATCAGCATATACTAGATATCCCGACTGCTGCTGCTGATGTTTGTTTCCCGGGGTCAAGAGACTTTAATTCGATGGCGCAGAAGAGCGAGAGCGAGAGCCCCAAAGCTGAGGCCATAAACCCCAACACAAAGAAAGGACACTGACACACAGACAGATCCAGCTTCTAGCAATTCGGCCATCCCGCTCGCTCTCCCTGCGTTCTCTCCAGTATCCAGTATGGGAAGAGCGCGCCAAACAAAGAAAGTTGGAACAAAGAAGTGCTGCTGGTTAGCAGGCAAAGCAAGGCACATGAGTCAGTCGAGCGAAAGTAACTAACTACTGAGCTTAGTTGGGCGCAAAAGTTTTCAGTTGGTTAGTTAGCATTGATTAAACCTGTGTGCTGTGATTAATTACAATCTTCTCAGCACTTTGTGTCCAGCCTGGCAATGCCACACACACAAACACGTTTCAGTGGGAATGCGGCAGTGCTTGTTTCAATTGGCGGGAGAGCGGGGAGTAGGATGGGGAATGAGAAATAAACTTGAAGGCGCTCAGCGAGGTTATTTCCATTAAATGCACATTTCCAGTTTGCATTGGCTGTCCCTGTTATTGTTATTGTTGCGTCGCAGCAGTTGAAATTGATTGTAAACAAAAGCAGGCACTCTCTCTCACACACACACACGCACACACATGTAACATCCGATCGAGATGTTTTTAAATTACGTTAGCTTACATGCACTCGCACTAAAACGAGAGCGACGATCAGTTTACGTGTATATTATTGTCACAATTGTATGTGATACAGTTAGTTCCGTCTGGTCCTATATTTTCGCTCGTGTAATCTGTATATTTTAGTCTTTCCTATTTTCTTGACCGCCTTATTAATTCACCACTCTTCCACGCCTCTTGTTTTCCCCCTCCGCCATCCAGGATTCCCATATACGCAAGGCAATACCGATACCCGAGTGTGACGTGACGTAACGAAACGGATAGACCAATCCCAGGTGTTACGCAGGACTCCACGCAACTCCACTCCACTTACTGAGAAGCGGCGGCAGCAGCAGCATCGCAACTCTCCAAAGGATCCAATCATCTAGGCAACCCCTTCCTTGTCTCTGTGTGCGTACGCGTGTGTGTGTTAAAATTTGTGTATCCGTCCGAGGATCTGTTCAGGACAAGTAACGAACATAAGTACCAGATCCCCAAAAATCAGACCCATCCCCAAGGAAACGGGGATAACAGAGGAGACACAAAGAACGGGAGGAGACCCACCCACGTGCAAGCAGGAGCACGCTACCTTTTCGCCCCCGAGTCGATCCAGAAAAGCAATCACCATTCCTCTATCAACGTACGACGCCGCTCCCCTTTTGCACTCTTACGACGACAGTCCGCAACGTTGGGACATCACCAACGGGCACCAGGCAGGCGTCATCATAGATCAGTTCCGGGGCGGTAAAGCGATCACCATTGAGGGAGGCACCAGCACCGGTGATACGGCGAGCATCGGCGGCGGCAGCGATTTACGACTGGTAATAACGGCCAATCCCAGCGAGATCGAGCGCAATTACGAGCAGCCAACCAATCGCGGTGGTGGCGGAGGCGGCGGCGTTATCGGCGTCAGCTGCGGTGGCCAAACCCCACCGACACCCTCGGTCGGCAAAACCCTGCTAAACACCAGTCCCAATCTCTTGCCGATCACCACAGCGACCGATACTTTCAATAACCTCAAGAATCTGGTTAAGATCGACAAGGGCTCCTCGCCCTCGGCATCGAATCAGGGAGGCGGCAGCGGCAACTATCGCAAGGGCTCCAACGGCTCTGGCTTTAAAAGCGGAGGCGGCGGTAACAACGGAACTCCACCGGCCTTGAGCAGCAGCGAGCATCAGGGCGGCAGGAACGGCAGCCGATCATCTGGTGGACCGACCGGACACTTTTCAACTGGCTATAGCAAGAATTCCGCCAAAATTCGCCAACACGACAGTGAGGTGAGCCCAAGACCTCGACGATCTTACCAGGGTGACTCGTCGTCGTCGCGTTACTATCCAAAGAATAGTGACATTTTGGGTCAAGGCATCAACAGCGGCAACACCGACAGCTACAACGGCTCCTCCGGTAGATACCAGCAGGACCAGCAAGGCGGAGCTCATCGTGGTAGTCGCAACAACTATCACTCCAACTCCGATGGCAGCTATAATCGATCAATAAACTCAAACTCCTCTGGGGGTGGTGTTGGTTCTGGAGGACCTGGTTCAGTCGGCAGCTCTGGCGGCAGCAATTATCGCTCCGCCCGCAACTACGAGAACGGCAATGGGAGCAACGGACCGCAGCCACGTTACGGCAGCGGCAACGGGAACGGCAACAGCAGTAATACTAACTCCAATTCCAACTCTTCGTCTGGCTTCAACGGAAACGCAACGAGCTCAGTCAGCAGCGGCAAGACAGCATCTTCGTATGGGGCTTCACGCGGCGGCAATGATGGAGGCGTGAGTGGCGGATATAGCAACAATTACCGCGATAGCTACGAGGACTCTCCATCGCATCAACGCTACAGCACCAACAACGGCCTTGAGCGGAACGGAGGCGGAGGAGGATCAGGAGCGGGATCGGGCGGTGGACCTCGCACTTACGGCAGGTCGGACTACGATCGTGGAGCAGCGCCCAGTCGCACGCCAACTCAGCGCAACGGCAATGCGTCGTCGGCTCAGAACTCGGGCTCCACTTCCAATTCTTCGAACATTTCTCTGAACTCAGCATCAGCAGCAGCAGGAGGAGGATCAGCTTCCCATACCCAGCAGCAGCAGGTACACCATCAACAGCAGCAGCACCAGGAACGATCCCAGACGGGCAAGGCAACCACACCGCCGCCGATAACAGGACGCTGGATACCACCATCGCTGCGTCCGCAGCATGGACTCACACAAAGCGAGAAGAACGACGCCGTTTTCCGGCGCGTGAGGGGTATCCTGAACAAGCTAACGCCCGAGAAGTTCCAAGAGCTGAGCGATGAGCTACTGAAGCTTGACCTCAACTCTATTGTTATTCTGAACGGCGTGATTCTGCTGATTTTCGACAAGGCCTTGGACGAGCCAAAGTACTCGTCTATGTACGCGCAGCTCTGCAAGCGTCTGTCCGAGGAAGCCCCGTCATTCGACAAGGAACCAAACAACTCTTGCACCTTCCTACGCCTTCTGATCGCCGTCTGTCGCGACAAGTTCAACAATCGACTTAAGCGCGACGAGAACGACAACCGACCGCCGCCCGAAAATGAGGCCGACGAGGAGGAGCGCCGCCATTTGGCGAAGCAGCGCATGCTCGGCAACGTCAAGTTTATCGGCGAGCTCAACAAGCTCGACATGCTGTCGAAGACCGTGTTGCATCAGTGCATCATGGAGCTATTGGACAAGAAGAAGAAGCGTACGGCCGGTGCGCAGGAAATGTGCGAGGACATGGAATGCCTGGCTCAACTGCTCAAGACTTGCGGCAAGAATCTGGATTCAGAACAGGGCAAAGAGCTGATGAACCAGTACTTCGAGACGCTTGAACGTCGATCAAAATCTTCTGAATATCCACCAAGGATACGCTTCATGCTGAAGGATGTCATCGAGCTGCGCCAGAATCATTGGGTGCCACGCAAGCTGGGCACAACTGACGGCCCCGTCCCAATAAAGCAAATACGCTCGGACGACGACTCGATCATTCGCACCCCGTTCCCCAATCGCAACCGGGATATGCGTAACAATGATCGCGACTCTGATAGCTGGATGAATCGATTCCATCTGAATATACAGCCCGGCGGCTACAATGACATGTTTAGCGGACTGAGTGTCACAGGAGCTTCTCCGATTGTCTCGCCGTGAGTAATAAGAAATTTTTTTTTTTGTTTGGAATTAGTATAATCAAGATTTTGGGGTGACACTTACAAGTAGATGGAAGATGGCCTTATGTTAATACGGCATGGTTCCATTTTATGTAGGTTACTAGCAAAAAATATAAGAAATCATACTCAATTGGGTCAGTCTAAGGTGGGAAGGTAAATAGGTAACCTTGCCGTGTAATGACCCACTTTCATATCATTATTAGGTAAATTTCTCTTATTTACATACGTTTTGTGAGAACCCATGCTTTTGTCGATTTTCTCAGCTTTTAATTGGCCTTTCATTGTGATAAGTTTCTATAAAGAAGCCCATAAATATAAAGGAATATTTTAAATAATTGTCATAAGGGATTTCTTATAAATATATTCCTTATTTTTGTCTCAGGTTCGCCACCAGCTCAAATCGAGGAGACCGGGATCGCGATAGTCGCCAGTACAACAATCGCGGCGATCGCAACAACCGAGATCGCGATCAGGGTGGCGGTGGTGGAGCCAACTATGGCAATCGTTACAACAAGCACAACCAGAATGGCGGTGGCAGCGGCGGAGGCGGTTCGGGAGGAGGCTCCTCGAACAACCGCGATCGAGACGATTCGCGCCGGAACAATGATCGCGACAGGGATCGCAACGACGGACAATATGGGGGTAATCAGCTGCTGGGTAGCAAGGAGTTGGCACCGAGGTTCAAGCGCAACTTGATCACCACGAACCAGGATGCGGTGGAGAACTTGCAAATGCGCCCGGCAGCCAACTCCTTGCTCTTCCGAGCAGCCTCCCAGAATCAGAAGTTCCCGGGCACGCTCCCCATCTCGACGCCGCCCAATGGCAGCAGCAGCAATCAAGGCGGCAGCGGTGCTCAGGGCAAAGATCAGGGTCAGCTCTCCAACTCGCACTACCCGATGCTGGGCACGCCCACCTCCCATCTGATGAACCCGACTCGTCCATCGTCGACCCCGTCCGCGGAGTACGCTGACAACCGGACACTGCTTGGAGTACAGCAGGAGAGGGGCCTTAAGTCGACCTCTTCGTCGCCGAACTTTGGCTCGGCATCGGAAAAGTTAGGTGAGCAGACGACCGAAGGCCCGGCGGGCAGAAAGGCCTCACACGATGGCAGGGACCAGAGCAAGAGTGGATCCTTGGAAAGGCCCAGCACCCCGGCCGGAGGCTCAGGCACGGCTAAGCAGCAGCAGAAGAAGGACAAGGGCCCTAGTAAGGAGGAGCTGTCTAAGAAGGCCAGTCAGTACTTCAAAGAGAAGTTCTACTACGAAGAGGAAGACACAGAGGATACAAAGGCCGATGAAGAGGTGAATGTGGCGGAGGACGAGGCAAAACCAGTTGATGGCGAGGCTGCTCCAGCGGATGTGACTGAAGCAGAAGATGATGCCGTCACTCCTTTGGGCACTCCAGATAGATTCGCTGAGCTTGTGGATGGATTCCTAGAGCTGAAGCTGCCCGAGAAGTCGCTGAAGGATGTGTGCATCAACCTGCTGATGGACGTCTTGGACCGTATGAACCATGTCTACTCGGATCGCGTTGTGCGCTTCTTGCAGGCTTTGCGGAAGCAGTCCAACATCAAGCCCAACGTGTTGGTCGAGGTCTTCAAGCAGGTGGTCAACAAAATGAATGAGCGCGAGGCACTGAACCCACGTATCACGACACTCGTGGCCAGCGTGCTGGCCAAGACTGTATGCGAGCCAGCTCTGCTGAAGCTGAACGATGTGGCCAACTACACGGACAACGGGCAGCACTATCCGCTGTTTCTGCTTGTGCTGCAGCAGCTGTCCAAGAGCATTGGCAAGGATGCACTGGAGGAGAAGTTCCGAGCAAGTAAGGTGGATCTAATGAACAGCCTTCCAGAGACGGACCGTAACAAGGAGCGGCTAGCTGCTATTCTAGAGGACCGTCAGCTGTCCTTCCTCTATCCCCTGCTGAAGGTGCAGGCCGAGATGCTAAAACAGTTGCAGGCCGATCCCAATCCCAACAACTTCTACAAGTGGATCAAGGCCAATGTCGACAACAAGTACTACAAGGACCCGGGCTTCATCCAAGCCCTCATGACCGTGGTGGTCAAGTACGTGACCAAGGAGACGTCGCTGGCCCCCAACCTGGACCCCAAGGAGCATCCGGAGAAGGCGGTAACCCAGAAGGAGCAGCAGTTGCTTGAGACCTACAGCCAGATGTTACAGACCTTCCTGGGCCAGAACGAGCTACAGCTGATGGCTCTGTACGCCCTGCAGACGTTCTGCTATAATGAAAATTTTCCAAAGGGTAAGTGACCTTTAATCTTTAATCTCTGTCAGCCACTAACCTTACTCCTTTCCTTCCTCGCTAGGCATGCTGTGCCGTTGGTTCAAATATCTGTATGAATCTGAAATTATCGAGGAGGAGGCTTTCGTTTTGTGGAAAGAGGAGATTTCCGACAAATATCCGGGCAAGGGATCCGCTCTGTTCCAAGTGAACGCCTGGCTGACCTGGCTGCAGGAAGCCGAGTCCGAGGACGACGAGGATTAGTGGGGATCACCACCTGCCCCGCATAACGACAGCGCTATATGTTTATCACTTCCAATATATTTATTCACAAATCGATAATCTATAATGATTACATGATGAAAAATAAGAATATTTAACAAAGCAAAACTTAAACAAAAGATAATAACGAGCAGGATGAAAGTTTGAAATCGCGACTTGCAAATCTTAGTCAAATTATAGTAGAAGAAAAAAAAAAACAAAAAAAAAAGCAATTAATCCAAATTATTTGATATTCAAACGAGTTTAACCAATTAATTACCAATAAATAAAACGCAATAGAGAGACGCAGCAAACGAACTATATTTAATCCCATACAACAACGCATAAACGCAAGCGAAATTAGTAAATTACCATGGACATTTTCAAGCATATACAAACGTAACTAACTATAAATTAGTGAATTTCATCTCGACTTTTTTTTATTGTCTAAATATAACACAACCGGAACTGAATTTCTAATCGAATAATAATGTTTGATTTCTATAGTCTCAGCCTCCTAATTTCCCGATTGTGTATTTAATTAAGTAGGTCAAATATCAAAGCGACAACGTAAATATATATGGAAAAACAAACAAACGAAAACACCAATCGATGCGCGCTGAGGGAGAGCAAAACAACACAAAAATCTGATTGTAATTGTGAACAAAAAATATCGTATATATGTATTTTAACTCAACAAAACGTAAACATACAAAAATCTCGCCCACATCAAATATAGAGCCTTAAATAAATGCAACCAACACTGCGAACGGCGAAATTCAAGATTTTTATTTTCCCAAATGGGCTGGTATGCAATTCATATTTTGGCGCCATTTATCGATAAGATTATCTACCGGCTATTGGGAAGCCCTGGTTTTCGTAGTACTTTCCAACACTGTCTGCCGCTCCAAGTCAAAATCTGCCTTTTCATCGTATTATTTGTTTTGAGTTGTTAAACCTTAGAATATTTCACATAGGCCTGTATACACTGGATCAATGGAGAGTTTAGCTGTTAAGGAATATCCTAAGGCCGCCGGAGATGCTGAAAAGGCGCCGGAACCCGGCTTGTTTACCTCACACTGCTTCCACTTGGACGGGGGGCATGTGCAGTTCACGGGACGAGTTCTCAAAATGCAGGAAAGCACCCTGCTCTTTGTCAACGGCCGGGAGGCGGAGACCTTCGACGAACTGGCCATGGCCATGCCCGACCGCTATGACGCCAAGGGCAAGGCCATATCCGCCTCCATTATGGGCGACCGGAACCAAACCGACTCTTCCATCCTGGCCGAAAAGCTGAGCAAACGCTACCAGCGTCAGTTCTACGTGAGCGTAAACGTCCAGATGGACCGACTGCTGTTACCGCTGTTCGAGAAAGCGCTAGTCACCTACATGCACGACCATCTGGAGCACTTCGTCTGAGTACGTACTTTATATTTACCGCGGAGTCGTATTTATTTCTGGTTCCCGTGCACACACAGGGGCCGCCACCGATGACACGGCGCCGCGTGGGGGTCACTGCCGTTGGATGCGTCTATTTCGGGGGATCGCCGGCGACCCCACGGACGCAGCACCGATCTTGTCTGGGCCCGCCGATCTCCGATCACCGCTCAGACGGCATGCGTCGGCCGAGTGAGCGCGCAGTTGAAACGTATCGCAGAACAACCAATTTTTGTACAATAAATTTATTGCCCTAAGTAAGTTTACAGACTGCTGGACTACTACCCGTATCAATTCTGTGTGTCGCGACTCGCGATAGTGCCCACCGTGTAAGGCGGAGGAGGTCAGCCGCTGGGGGAGTGATCGCATGCTGGCCGCATGCTGACCAACGAATCCATCTCGTTCGTGAAGGTCAGTTAATAGGCTGCACCGACGGCTCGCCGGGTGATTTTTCCACGGAATTGTTTTGCTTTTGTTTATGTGACGAGGATTGGCAGATCACGTTTAACGAAAAGGTGTTTTGAAAGTGAATTGTGTTTATTTTCTTATTTTTGTGTTGAGGAATCTGAAGATTAAAAAGAGGTAGTAATGTTATTTTAGTAGTTGCAATGAAAAAAGACTAAAGATGGCCATCCGGTGTTTGATCACAGCAAATTGTAGTTACAAATTTTCGAATCTTATTTAATCCAATTAAATTACATTTCAATTTAGAGTCGATCGTGAGGAAAACGATGCCTTAGAGCCTAGAGTTTATTTTTTGGTTGTAATCAAGAAATCGCTTATTTTGAGAGACTTATGATTTGGCTTACGTGTTGTTTGGCAGGTTTGCACGATATACATACATATGTATAATTAAACAAGAAAGGAAGCTAACTTCAGCACGCCGAAGTTTATATACAATTGCAGATAGAACTTCAATGACTAGGAATCTATACAATATAAATTATATATATTTTTGTTAAAAAAACAATGAAATAATACCTGCTTCCATTTCATTCTCCTATTCATATTATATTTAAAGTTTTACTTTACAGATTTGTATTATTTCTCTATATCTAACGATCGTTTGTATGGCATCTATATGATATAATGGTCCGATTTTCATAAAATTTGATGAAAATATGTTGAAAACTGAAAAAGTTTTAATTCTTAATTGTATAAATTTTTCGATCGCTCCTATGGGAGCTTTATGATATAGTAGTCCGATTTTCATACAATTTTACACAAAATTGTAAAATAATATAAGATGCCTATACCTAAAATTTTATCAAATTCGGTTGAGAACTGTGAGAGTATGATAGAAGACTAACTACAAAGTATTATTCAGCTTCAAAACTGAGACTAGTTTGCGTAGAAACGGACTTACGGACATGGCTAGCTCAACTCGGCTGTTAATGCTGATCAAGAATATATGTACTTCATATGGTCGGAGTTGCCTCCTTCACTGACTGAAATTATAAAAATTAATGTATAGTTAAGCCTTAGCGTTATCAACGATCGATATTATCATCAAATTAAAAACAATCCAATTATATTTAGGTGCTTTATTATTTAATTAAGGTAATTTATTTACAATTTTCTAACTCGTAACATGTTACTAAGTAATTACCAAAGTCTTTAATCTGTTCTGACCATGATTGGCATTAATTTGGGTTATGGAACTCATGTACAAAATTATCGAAAACCTTTGCAAGAAGAAGGGTGACTAGTGAGTTTATATTGTTAATTATTGCCTAGCCGAATTAAATCTAAAAATTGTGATAGATTATTGTGGCTTTTCGGAACTGTAGTCGGAAGTTTGCAAACCTAAACTTCATGTATATATATTCTTGATCAGTATTATAATCAGAGTCAATCTATACATGTTTGCTAGAATAACAAAAACAATTTTTTTTAAATGTTAATCATATTATAACTCGCACAGAAAAGGTTCCCGAATTTAAACAACTGATTTTTTTCCTTAGTCAGACTATTAAAAACAAAACTGATCAAAAACTTATAATTTAATATCGATTATAATTTATTGATTTTCAATTCAACTCCTAATCCCCATTATAAAGTGCAATCGAACCTTGAACACATACATATATATTTTTTTGTAATTATATATGATGGGTCAAAACAGCTTTAAATCCATTGCTTTAAGGTATAATAAAATTAGAATTACCTTATTAAAAGTATTCTTATGTTTATGTAAAAAAGAAACATCGTATCACAAATTGTGAATCCCAAAAGAAAAAGTTGAGTCACTTCCTGCGTGACTGCCACAAAATCCAATGATTGTGATATCCATTTTCTGGTTCACTCAATCAGCATTTCTTTACTGATATCGAGCATAAATATTTTGAATCAAAATAACTTTGTATAACTCGAAATACCTACGATCTCGTATATCTATTGGCATTCTCAACTTCGCCGATTAGCCCAAAGTTTGCATAACCCCCGCCAAGAATGCCTTATATCAAGAATGTCATATATTACGGAAAAATGCCCCCAGCAGCTTGAAACTTCAATACACTTACGTGCGTTTGAGAATTTTTTCCGCTAAAAGCAACCAAAAAGAACAAGACAATTCCACAAATTGGGAAACGAAACAAAAAAAAAATAATAAAAACAAACAAATTGTGCTGTGCCTCTCATAATGCCCAGTCTAGACGAGATATTGTCAGAGGCGTATCAGCAGACCAGCAGTGGTAACTGAAGCAATAGGAGCGATATGCTCCTAAATAGCAACACCCATTGAACGGGTGTATAAATAGAGCCCCTGCCGGAAGGTCTGGGCTCCGGGGTCTGTTGTGTGGGCTCCCACGAATGTCTGGAATGCTTTTTTGTTTTCCTTTTTGGCCATATCAGACTCTGTCTGGCGATAAGCGGCGTATAAATAATAGTTCCGAGTTGCCCGAAAATCGAGGCAGCCCTCTGTAATAAACCACCAATGGATGGTGGAGATGATGGCAGGGCAGCTCCATGCCGCAGATGCATGCCCGGTGCGACCGTGTCCGTCGAGTGTCCGTGTTCCAGGGAGTGATGACTGGTGGGCTTGGGTCTGAGCATGATGGACTTTGGATGTCTGTCGCTTGGCGGCAACAAAGCAATTAGCCTTCCGCGGCGATCATAGTCAATCACTCAGCTCCCGTATCAGCTCCCACTGGGTTCCACCGCGACCCGATAACACTGGCTGGACTTGTACTGGACCCTTCTCCGTTGCTCCATCGCAGCATCGCAGCATCGCTGCATCTTCGCATTGCGGTGATAAATAAAGAAAAACAACCCGAAGCGAACGCACGCCCACGGAGTGGTTGAGAGATCCCATGCCAAAGGCAATCCGCTCCATCAGGGCTTATCACCATCGGCCACCACCAGACCAGGCCACCTTTGCCAGCCATCCAGACCCCGCCGGTTATCGGTCGAGTGTTGTTAATTTGATAGAAATATTGAAACATCATCCCGCCCGGCTGCCGGCAATCCGGATCGATCTGGATCCCTCGAATGTCTGTCGCCCAGTTGGGTGCTTTGGATTTGTTTTTATTTACGCCGAGATTCGGACCACGGAAAATTAATAAGTGCACACGCTTCTCCTCCTCTGATCCCCAACAGAAATATTCGCGAATGTGTGTTCGCGGTTCCTCTTACTATAAAAGCCTTATCAGTCCGGACTCTGGAGAGCTTCGCTGTCGCTGGACCCTGGGAATGTCCGAGGGGGGAAGAACACGGAGTCAGGTCGACGGATCTGAGGGGGATCTCGGGTGGCTGGGAGAGAGACAATCCGGCCTTATCGATGCGCACGCTCGCGCGCCATACAAAGTTCATACTGGCGGTGCCAGAAAATCCGGATTTTTTCCTGCCGTTCATTTTTGGATGATTTAACGAGCGACAAGCGCTTGCCAAACATAAAAATTAGGTTAGGCCGGGGTCCTTCATCATCGCCATCGGCATCGGTTGTCTTCATCTGCGTCCAAGGCCACGCTCTGGAAGATTCCGCTGAACTGACCTCGCCACGCGCGACTGTACTTCGATCCACTCGCTTATTATGATGATGGCGCGTTCTGTGGTCTGATTCCCTATCTATTTATAAATCATGATTCCAAATCTGTTCCGTTACTCTGAGGGGGAATATGAGGGAATTGGGACTGGGACTGGGACTGGGACTGGGGCTTGAGTACTCAGTTCTGATCACTGGTAATGGCAATGAGTCCACCTGTTACAAAGCTGATAGAGGGCAAGGGCTTATCAATGTCCCTGATGTCATGTTGTCTTTACGTAAGCCCCCGCCAGACCCCACTCGGTGGCCCGTGCAGGGTGGCCGGATTACGTACGATCCGGGGGTGGGCTACACACGAAGGTGGAGCGAAGGTTGCTCCCTCCGCCAGTGTGTGAATCACGGGCCCAGACAGCGCCGCCTGATAGCGCTGATAGCCACTGCCGTGGTCGATAGCGGCAGCACCACCAGCACCCAGCAGAGCTGGCGGAGCACAGAACTCCCGCTTCCCGTCGCCGTGCCATTCACGTCATGGCGCAGAAACTTTCGTCGTCTGTTGACTGGAGATAACCATGTTATCTCAGAGCTCCAGACGCAGGAGCAGCGCCCACACAGTGAGGTGAAAACTGTGGCCAAACCCAAGAATTAAATTCTCCTACTAGGAATTGTATAAATATATAATCTATATGATATATGGATATGTACAAACGTATGTTTAGATATACCCAAAAACGAATTTCTGTGTGTTGGAGACATACCTTAATGGACTTCTGGAGGAACCTGAAGGTGGTTATAATGCTGAATTTCGAGTATAATGTTCAAAATCGTTATTCAGATTTTGTATGAAAAATCAAAATCCATTTAAATCTCATAAATTTAAATGTTTGTATGTTTTAGTGATCCTTAATTTAATCTTTGGGTATTCCTAATTTATTCTTTCCAACCCTATAAATCATATATGTACATACATATGTTATGTTTGTTTTTTTATCAACCGAGTCGATCCGGCCTAATACTTATTTTTTCAACATTTTACAAAAGGTTATATCAATAAAATGATCAATAGTTAAGAAATGTATTGTTTTAAAGAATTTACTTATTTCCTTGAATTTTTCTGAATCATAATTATTATTAACTAAAAGTACCAATGACCATTGATAATGCGGCTTTGTGATCTTGCTGAGGGTTGGTTGTTTATTCTAGATTCTAGAATCTATAGAAACTAAGACCGCAGAGTGACTTTTCTATATTTTTTCTGGACTTCACCCTCACTTCCGAGAGCACACAATGTTGTCGCCTCGAGAATACCCATTGCCTTTTTCGGAGTGCACAGCTGGTGGCGAAGTTGACGTACCTGGGCCAGAGTCAGGGCAAGGGCATGGCGACATAGGGGCGGCGAGCAGACGGGCGGTCGGCTTCGGAGGTGGGGCTGTGCTGGCGGGGAATTCGCTTTGCGGTACGAAGTGCAAGTCAGGCAGACGGCACTGCGGCGATAACGCTTGCCCCCCAAAGAGCGATCATCGGGCGCACACATGCAGGATTGGCTGGCTGGCTTGCTGGTTTTCCACTTGTGCGTTGATAAGCGCACCCAGACCGTCACCCGGCTCCTCCTGCCCCGACCCTCCCACACCCAGCACGGAGTTACACTCACGTAGTGTGTGCTTTTGCCCCAGATCCACATTTGCCCCAGTCTGGATTTTTTCCACCGCGTCCGCTCGCACGCACCTGCTCCGCTCTGCTCTGCTCTCCTTGGTTCGGCTTGGCTCTCCAGTGTTTTGGTTCCGACAGCCAGCGCCGGGCTCCCCTGGCCCGTCTGCAGCCTTCGGGGCTGATAAGAGGCTACTACCATGTCCGTCTGGCTGCCCTTATCAGCGACCGGGTTTCGCATATTACCCGAGCGCCAGCAGGCGGGCGGCTCATTCGATCGCAAAGCGCCTTAGCGAGAGCACCAGTCTCTTCTTCTGAAAACCTGCTCCCATCATGGATATCGTATTACAAAAGTCAATCTTCAACAGCGGCCCCGCCAAAGGCCCGATATACGAGTCGCCCGCTGGCTACTACACGCCGTACAACACTCCGCCGTACATAGCTCCGTACTCACCGGACCCGGGTACTTGGTTGGCGGATCACCAGCCGCAGCACCAGCAGATGCAGCACATCAGGTTCCCTACACCGCCCATTACGCCGCCGCGTCCAGTCACCGGATACGGTTCCGGCCAAGCCCACCTTTCGCCCGCCGACCACCGTCACCACCATTATCGTACCGAGTCCGTCATCATGAAGGCCCAAGGCCAGCAGGACGAGAGGTGCCCCAGCAGCCCCGTGGAGTTCCACGACGACAGCAAGTCCTGCAGCAGCAGCAGCGAGTGTGGCACAAACCACGATTTTGTGTGCAACTGGATTGACTGCGATAGGTAAGAATCGGAGTCCTTATGGGGATTATTCAGTACTATAGTAGGAAAAAAATATTTGGGATATCGCTGCAAAATATTATTATTTATTTTAAAAGCTTAGAAATGTTCAATCAATATATGTACATACATACACACGTAATTCAAAAAATAACTTGTTGATATGTAATATTAACTTTTTACAAGAGCGTAATGAAATTAAATTCAATTAATGACTAAGAATTAAATCTTCCAGGAACTTACCAGTATATTTTCCATTTAAAGCCTGTCTTTATTAATCTTTAAAAAGAGATAATTCCGATCAGTTCTTTCATATATTTACGTAGTATTCAGTTACCAGGCAGTTGACCATTAAAACTGATTACCAGATTCAACAGAAAATCCAGCAGCCGCCGTCTGGAAATAGTTGAACTTGTGGACTGAACTTTGTGATAAAGCATTTGTGTGGATTCATACCGATCATAATCAAAGTAATAAGGCCAAAAATTGATTTTATACGCAAGATAAACAATAATTAGATAAAAACATTTAAAAATACAATTTTTTTACAACTGTACTTACGCCCGTATCTCTTCCTGATCTTTACAGAGTTTTTGACACACTGGAGGCCCTTGCCCAGCACGTCACCCAGCGGCACGCCATTGCTTCCATTAACGACGGACTCTACTACTGCCGCTGGCGAGGATGCCAGCGCAGCGAGCGGGGATTCAATGCCCGCTACAAGATGCTTGTCCACACCCGCACCCACACCAAAGAGAAGCCGCACCGCTGCCACTTGTGCGAGAAGTCCTTCTCTCGGGCGGAGAACCTCAAGATCCATATCCGGTCGCACTCCGGCGAGAAGCCCTACAAGTGCAGCTTCGAGGGCTGCCAGAAGGCGTACTCCAACTCCTCGGATCGCTTTAAGCACACACGCACCCACTCCACGGAGAAGCCGTACATGTGCAAGGTGGCTGGTTGCCAGAAGCGCTACACGGATCCCTCGTCGTTGCGGAAGCACGTGAAGACCTTTAAGCACAGCATCCACCTGATCGCCAGCCAGCCCCTCACGCTGCCCACGCATGCCGTTCCCCGCCTCCTAGAAGCAAGCAGCGACTCAGCCTTCATATGCCTGCCCGCTGCCGCCGGCAGCGTGGAGTCCACATGCTCCTCTACCTCAGCCCGCTACTACGACGACTCCAATAACGAGCCTAGCGACTACTCGCTGAAGCCAAAGCCGGATGCGGAGTACTCGTCTAGCTACTGGCTGAGCGAACGGCAGCACAGTTACCTCCAGAGCGAGGACGACTTCTACGTAAAGATGGACGTGGAGTCCCCGCTAGATCTGCGCATGCATAGAATTTGAATTGGCAACCAATGATGCCTCTTGTCTCTCTCTTCCCCGTCTCTAGTCATTATATGCTGTCCCCCAGCTCTTGTCACTACTCCTAGATTACTATTTAACCTGATTAAAGACTGTTGTATTTAAAAAGAGATTTGGGTTTAACATTGGGAATTAATGTTCATGGAAAGGAAAAGGTCTAATGGATTATGGGAATAAGTAAGAACTTAAAATTTGTAACGCTTCGGTTATCAAGTCTATTGAGTTATGTCTAGAGAGATAGGAATTTTCAAAGCAAACGTTTTAGAGTACGCAACCTTCATAAAATAATGTTGTTCATTATCTCCATGGTTCTACGGAGAGATGCCTCCTAAAGTAAGTCATTCTTATGTAGCATAAAAATCTCCCTAGTTCTGTGGAGAGAAATCTCCTTGAAGTCTTAAGGAAGAAATCTCCATGGTTATGTAATGAGAAGTCCCTGTTTTCTATGAAGAGAAATCTTAAAATTCCTGAACTAAAACACAAGGCTGTTATGAAAAAATCCAGCTTCTTAAAGCGGTCTAGGCTTGGATTTAGATTATAATTATAATGAATGGAAATTCACAAAAAAAAAAAATCAAGGCCAAGCACAACCCTAAAAAAACAAACAGTTCAAACTATTGCAAAAAAGCCAATAGACAGTCACTCAATAAATAATATGACCAATAGAAAAATACCACGTGATCCCAACAGTAACTTTTGATAATAATTTTATGAACCCACACAGCACACCTCACTTCAATCAGGCTTGTTATTTTAAGGGAAAATCCCCAATTCCTCAGGGGCTCGAAAAGAGAACTGGGTATTTGAAAATATTTATTGTTAAATGCTCGCATCTAGAGGAGTTTTTCTTGTTCACAACTGTTGATAACAGATTTAAATCTTCTTTTAGCGGCTTATAGGAATGTTAGTTTATCTAGATGTAACCTCTCGTTTCATTTATACAAACAACAAGAACAAACAAAATAAATAGCAAAGTATTTCACATTTTGGAAATAGATAAATACACTTTGAAAGCGGTATCTGCGTATATACTGGTAACATACTACATACTTAGTAGAACCAAAACATACAAATTATGATTACATATTATTATAATAGTTGCACGCGCGTCGATTAAGGAAACTAATACGTTGTAGTCCCGCATATTCGGGCATCAGCTGTACACCATTGTCCGCAGTATTTTACGCCCTAAAGAATCGTACGACGCGTACGATGTATTGTCGACAGATCGGACACTCGTTGAGCACCTTGCCACAGCTCGTGCAGGTGGCCATGTGGCCGCACTCAAGAAACACGCACTCGATAGGCGCGTCCATGCAGATTTTGCACAGCTCATCCGTGGCCAGTTTCTCCACAGCTGACAATTGAGGAACCATTAAATACATATTAAATTAGATTACAAACAATAGCTCACCTGGAGCCTCCCGCATTGTTTTCCACAGCCTGCTGACGCGATCAAGCAGTTCCTGCTTCTCGCAGCAGCCCTTGTAGTCGACGCGGTGCAGCATAAGCACCTCCTTCAATTGTTTCACCGTCAATGCCTCCAAGTCTTTTCTGTTAATCAAAAGAAAAATATTTCATTTTCGATTTTTCTAACAAAAACCTAACTTACAAATCCTCAAAGTCTTCCAAGTTTACAAAGCGCGAATCAATGCAGGCGGCGGGCTCATAGTCTGAGGGCGCCGCATACACATGGATGCCTTCGTCGTCCCAGCGAATGTCATCCTCCTGCGTTGGGGAGAACTCAATGGTCGGGGTTATGGGCATTTCCGGTGACCTTCCGCCGGCAGCCACGCTGATCGCGTCCACGCTCAGAGGCGAAACTGCATGGCTGCCCGATTCAGAAGCCTCCACCGACTTGGTGCGTTGCTCCAGGTACGTAAGGAACTCCTGAAGCTCTCGCTTTATGTCCTCCTCGGACATCTGCGAGTTCTCCAGGTGCCGTCGCATTCTCTCCACATGCCGACGAATATTTGTCTTGTTTTTTCCACAGCGCTGGCAGCTGTGACGATGGGAGTGCGCATGAGGGCCAGGTTCGGGCTGCTCGCTCAGTGTGGACAGGCCCAGACTAAGGCCAGATCCACCTGGTGCCACTGGCGACTCCTCATCACTGGAGTGTTGACGGCGATTTAAGTAGCCATCGGAACGGCGCCGGGTGACCTTCTTCGTGCGCTGCGGTACAGCAGGATGGGATGATGGAGTCGGGTTGGGCGGACGCTGCTCTATGTTTAGGGTCTGGGTACTCTCGCACGCGGTGCGATTGCCGTCTTCCCCAGGTGCCGGTCTGCTGCTTCGGAGAGTAACCTCCAAAATTTCCTCGGCGGCACTTGTGGTCGGCGTTTCCTCCACAGCCTCGATCCTGTTCACCTCTAGCACCTGCCACTGGTCCAAGTGGCTGCTGTTGGTGTCTGTGGTGGCTTTACTCTCGTCGGAGATGCCGCCGATGGCGCCCAGCTCTTCGAAACTCGACTGTGACGAGGCATCCGCCTTAGAACTGCTCGAGCCAGGCTTGGAGCAGGCCGGACTGTTGTTGTTGGCAGTGGCTGAGCCCCCAGGGCCATCCAAGACCGCCTCCAGGGCAGCGTCAGAATTTGGCACTGGTGGTACATTCACCCGACCACTGGTGTCGGTTCGGAGCGATAGCGATACGCGCTCGCTGAACGTGGCCATAATCTCGTCGTCCGAGCACTCGCAGTCGTCGGTCTTGCTATCACGGATTTCGTCATTGGCCGGTCGGCCCTGAGAGGACCCTTGGGAGCCGCGGACCTGGCTATTTATGGGGCTGCTTGGCGAGCCGTTGGCATCGTGATTACTCGATGCCGGCGTGGAAGTTGAGGGACTGCTGCTGCTCTGACTGCCCCCATTAACGCTGGCAGATGGCTGGACGTGGACCGAGCCACTGCGCTGATCCCCGTTCACAGAACTGGCGTATGTGGGAATCTCGCGCGTGGACACTCGCGGCTGCTCAAATATATGTGAAGGAGCCTCCGCGGGCTGCCTGCTCTCCGTCGGCTTGGTGCTAGCCTTGGAATCGAACGCGGCGAACGAATCGCTTAGGTTGTCGGTCAGGTTGGTGAAGAAGTTTTGGCACGACTGCTTGAGGTTGTCGATGGGGTTGGCCTGGCCACGACCCGGACTATTGGTGGAGGCGTTCGAGCCGCGGTGTCCGGTGTCCATCTGGGCCACATGAGCCAGCACCAGACCGACCAGCTCCTCTTTCTCTGCAATTGAGCGTCTGGGTAATAAGAGATACCATGTAATTGAAGATTGGCGGCATGACTCACCTAGACAGCCCTCAGTCGAGATGTGTTTGGACTGCAGATAGAATATCAGATCCTTAGGCTTGAGCTTCAGCAGATCCGTTCTGAGCAGCGGGCGCTGGGCAAAGACAGAGCATCGCTGGCAGCGCCTGGCCACGATGCAGTTGGCACAATAGTAGCGTCTGAAAGAGAAGATGCAAAAGAGGCAGGCATATCGAATGTCAACCTCCGGAATCCCGGCACCGCCGAATGCCATTATTACTCACTTGCAGTCGAAGCAAGCGCGCTTGCGACGAAAGACGGTGAACTCGACACCGCAGCTCTCGCAGGGCATCTTGGCGGCCGGTGCTCCAGATGGTTGGTCAGTGGGGCTGGGGCTGGGGCTGCTTCGATCGACCCAGTGGCTGTATCCTTGCTCCTTCCTGCTCCCCTTCCGTCTGCTCACGCCCAGAGCGCTGGCATTGCATTTGTTTTTCAATGTCAACGCCGTGAATCACTGCTGGTGGGGCGATGTCCAGGCAGCAGCTTTCATGTCCGCCTAACGGGGATTCGGTTACGACAGCACTGGGATTCCCCCTCACAACTTTCTCATGGGCGACGACTTCGAAGGCTCTCGCAATGATTTTGTAAATTTTTATCTGGCAAAATAGCAACTTTTAGAGCTGGATCGACCACTCACGGTAGTATCGATACATTGAATCGGCGTGCGTGAGTTTACCTCATTGTTTGACCAGCTCTAGCGATTGCAGTTTGCAAGGCCGCCGTTACCGATAGCACTGTTAGTTGGCGCTAATTTAAACTTGAACTGGCTAATTTTCAATAATTAAAGATACCATTATTACTCAACTTGATTTCCTCTTTTAGTTGCTTTTATTTAATTCACATCCACTACTTACAGTTAAGTATGTAATTGTATGCATTTAAATATAGGTAAGTGCCATAAAATGTTGCAATCTTGTTTGTTAAAATAATACATCAATTAGTCGCTAAATATTATTATATACGGTCTGCCTTTTGCTCCGCCTGCAAAGTCATTTAGTTATATGTATATACACATGTGTTGTTGCTTATTTGCTTTCTTCCATTGATTGAGCTTTTACGAAATTCTTGTCTCGATAAGTCTTTAATTACATAAAACAAATGCGTCCGTTGCTCCGGCCAAAATGTTTCTCATAATAACTGATGGCAGTTGGAGGAGGAGGTCCTCAAGCAGCGCCAGCACCGCATCGTTCGTTTTTCAGTGGCTATACGTTTTTTTTTTTTGTTCTTTTTCTTCCAGTTTCCTTTCTTGGCGAGAACTAAAGCAGCAGCAGCAAGAGAGCAAGTAATCAAGGGAAAGTAAAAATGTACATGTGCTATTTCTATATTGGCGAGTTGAACGTTGCTTGTGGCCCTGAAGAGTGTGGAAGAGAGTGCTGCTGCTACTACGAGACCCGATGCGGATCCTCGCCCTTGCAGCGGCTCTGCAGGGGATCGTCGTTGTTGTTGTCATCGTCATGGATGCCCGCCGATTCCAGCGCTCGGTTCTTCTCATAGTCGACAAAGTCGTCGAACAGACTGGGCCACGCTTCGGTGTCGTCATAATTTTGTATATCACATTGTTCCGTAAAGTTGAGGTACATGTTCCATGTATCCTTCGGTATGCGGCGAATATTCGGGTGCTTTTCGAGGAAGTGTATCCAGTTGGAGAAGAGATCAGGTGTTTGTACAGTGAACACTAGTTTCCACAGGTCGATGGCCATCTCCAGGGAGAGGACGCGTTGGTCGGGCTCTAGGCCAAAGCTGAAACAAATGGACATTGGGGATTTGGCGAATTTTCTTGGCATAAGGAGAGTCTCACCGAAAAGTAAAGCGGTAGAGCTGCTTAAACATCTCGGCGTCCGCCTTGAGCATCTCAATTGTCTGCTCCAGCCGCAGCCGGATGCTCTCTATTGTGTCCGCCCGCATCTTTAGCAGCCCCTCAATGAACTCGGTCTTCGTGAAGCGGCACATCTGCGAGGCATCCAGGCACCAGGCCAGGACGAGTATGGCGAACTCATCGGGCTGATAGTTGAGGTCATTGCATAGGCGCTCGATGCCGTCCGTGAGTATCATGTCCTCGTCGTCCGGATCTTTGTACACGTCGTATAGTTGGTTCAGGCTCTGGTGCGACACCTCCATGGACTCCTTGACAGCTATGCGTGACAGTGTTTGTGTTTGGAAAGGAGGAGAAAACGTGTTAGCAGTACTTTATCAGTGCGCGCCGCCATAGAGGGGTTGCTGACTCACCAGTTGTTATGATATCGCTCATGGTGGGCGCAGTGCCATTAAGCAAACCTAAAGACTTAAAACTATTACGCTTAGTATCACAATTGTTTGCTTTTGCTGGCTTGAGTGGAGTTCGGCTAGAGAGCAGCTCATCGGTTTCTGAGGGGAGGAATGGGAATGGGAGGCCTTAGAATGAGACAATTACTGAAAATGGCTATCCATCCATATGGAGCGTACACTTACCGCGCGGCCGATCGTTATAGAGGGCGCAGCGCTCGTTGGCATTGGGATTAGTGCCCACCGAATTGTAGCAGTTGGCCAAGCTGGTGGCCTCCGGGCAGGCGTTTGAGTTGGAGTTGGAATTGGGGGACGAGGCGTTCGTTGGCAACGATTGTTCGGCGGCAGACTGGAAGCATTTCAGGCAATTGCCCATAGTGCGAGCGGGGCGCTCCTGGCTCCTGACGCCTGGCTGCTCCTACCCCGGTCTGCCCTAGGAGGAGCTCGCTTTGGCTGCCAGTTTTCTGTGCTAACTTCTGGATGACACTTCTGATTCTAATTGTTGGTGTCTGTTGTTTTTGTTGGCGTGGTAATGGCTCCTGCTGGTCCTATTTACTGGACATCGACGTTGGCACTGCAATTCCTGCTGGCGTTCCAAGTTCCAGGTTTCCAGTGACTCTTTGTTGCTACTGCTACTACGATTGCTTCTGCTTGTGCTACTGCTACTGCTGCTTCTGCTGTTGTTATTTTGATGCCTCCTACGCAAACGCACACTCATCTGGGTGCCTGTGCCTGTGTATACGTGTGGTTGTGGCCCTCACGCGTATACATATACATGTGCAGCTGCAATTGCTGCAGCAATCACCACCACCACGAATCGCGCTCGCTTTTGCTCGTCGTGGTCGGCGCTCTTCACATCTTCTTCACTTTAGCACATTGCATTTGCAGTTTACCTTCAATTTTTAACCAAATTTATTAACTATTTTTTTCCTCCGTTTTTCACTTGTTAAGAAATATCGATAGTCTCACAGTTAGAGGTGGAGAAACATCGACGTCAACATCGATGTCATCGATGCTTTTGAAACATCGAAGTCATCGATGCTTTTGAAACATCGTTAACATCGATGTTTGGCTGCGAATCATCGATGTTTTGAGAGTGTGAGAGAGAGCTAAAGTGGGCGAAGAAAGTTAACGGATTTACAAACTAATTGAAGTTTTGTCGAAATATAAACTGATAGCTATGTGCCCAAAAGGGTCACTAAAAATTATTTGATACTGGTTAACTTCACAAGGATTGATCTTTAAATTTTAATTATTATTATTCCAAATTTGTAATCTTCAGAAAAATAAATAAGTGACTCCTTATACGACTGAATTGATCGGCAACTGAAAAGAGCTGTTCCTATAAAATTTTAAACTATATTTTTATTCGTTCAGCGACCCGAGGTTGCTAGAAAATATCGACTGAATAACTAGTGTGGCTTTCTTTCTTTATAAACTTTGGCACAGCAACACTTTACTTTAAAATTTGTATTACTATCGTGTATTTTTAAAAATACTATTGTTTAAACATTTGAAACCTTGAACGTTGAAACCTTTAAAATACATCGATAATATTTTTAGTAATTCAGTCATATAGGGAATCCCCTAAAAAAATAAGTAAACTTTTAGTTAAAATAACAAAGTACAATAATATTTATTTAAAATTTTACTTCTATATATAATACATTTACAATATTTTTATTGAGTTTCATATGCAACCTATTTACCGTTATATCTCTTGTTACCTTAGAAACCCGTAAACTGTGAGCTTGCTTCTATCGCCCACTGTGAGTAAGGTGAGCGCGCCGAAGTTTGAGCCAAGTTAACAATTTCATTCAACAACATGCAGTCGGAGTGGTAGAAAGTGCTTCCGGGTAAGTGCTGTGCTACGTGCATATTCTACCGATCGCGACGGAAAAAGAAAACTTTCGGTTGGCCGAAAAAGAAAAGTGTCAAGTGTGGAAAATCCCACCTCCTGTGCATGTGAAAAGCGGTCATGAACGGGGACAGCAGAAACTCGATCCGCAACCGAAATAAATACACATGTGTGTTGTTTTGTGCTGCTTATTTACGGTGCAGGCCACCGATGTTGTGTGTATATCCGTGGTAAAATGCTCGACTGCCCCCCGATTTTCGGCATTTTGGGCAATTGAAAACCAGCCAGCGCAAGGTTGACTGAACTTGGGACAGTTGTTGTTATTGTTGTTGGTAGTTGAGAGTTGAGAGTTGGGCTTGAGCCCGATATGTAAGCCAACTTTAACTCGACTTGTGTATGTACTGACGTTGGTAGTGCGCGTATGTGTCTAAGCGTGTGTGTACGCGTGCGATTCTCCGGCCGAAGACACACTTTTCTTTTTCTTTTTGGATTATTAATTCACAACGTGTGAACGCTGTGGAAAAAAGGTTAACAAATGAAATCTGCTTAACGGAGAACTCGTCGGCTCATCTTCGTACGCTTTTAATTGTCTCAACACGCTTGCCACTCGAAGAAATCGGGGCAACAAACAAAAGGGTTTAAATAATCAAAAAATACATTACAAGTTCGAAAGTTTTGAAATGTATCAAAAGTGGTTAACAAGATTATGATTCCAGTACAGATCAATATTAAGCATCCTTAAAATTCGGATCTAAAAAGACTGTTAATCTGTTGCCTATAAACTTCAAAATTGTATCCAATACCTGTAAATATATTGATCGAATCGATAAAATCGGTAAATGAATACTGAGATTTCTAGACAAAGCCATTTAAAACTTATCCCATATCTGGTGAAATACAAAATAAACTGGGTTATCCATTTTGAAATAAAATATCTCAAGGAACACAGGAACAAAACTCCTTTAATACCCCTTAATACATCATGACCATCACAACATATACATGCTCTTTTATTTATTTCAAAACACAAAATATGAAGCTTCCTAAGTATGCATTAGGTATACATAGCCTTGGCCATGGCCGACATTTCCCTGGGTATTTGGAGCATGTTGTCCAAATAGCTGGCCAGCTCATCGACATTTACTTCGTTGGACCTCTGGTACCGTGATCCGTAGGAAGGAATACGAGCCTCATAAATATCTCCTTCTAGATTTTCACACTCATGAATCAGGTCCTGAAAGTCATAGGAAAGAGTCCGAGGACTCTTGGTTATCTGTTCTACATTCTGTATATTTTTGCACTCTTCAGTGAGGGCCTTCATATCATAGAGATGCTCAGAGTCAGGATTTTTTTTAGAATCAATTTTCATGGCCTCAAAGTCCAAGTTAATGTCTGTGTTCTTAAACCAGTTTGAATATTCCTTTTGAGGACTGAAAATGCTCTTAAACAACTCACTAGAATTGTCCTTGGACTTTTTTTGTCCGTAAAGCTTCGATTTTTGCAACAGGTTGGAATTATCCTCCTTAAGGATATCCTTAATCCATTTCTGTGACTTGGCCCTGGACTTCCCCTCGAGGGACATAAGCCTCGATTTTTTAACCAGGCTCTTGTGTTTCATCGGCCTTCTGTTTACTGACAGTTTCTTTGCTGTTGTATTACTTGTCGACCATATAGCCGATTTGTAATCATGCCAGGAATCTGGAGAGTTTTCCTCAATACAAACATGGTTGGAATAATTGAAGTGCCCCTTCCATTCCTCGATACTAGACGTCTCTTGCAGGATCCCCTGTAGAAGGGACTTTTTCAGAAAACCCTTCTGCTTCAGCGGTTCCTTAAAGATTTCAAGCTCTTGCACCGGTATGTCGTTGCCTGAAGCCAAGCCTAATTCCATTTGGAAACTAGGAATTTCAACTGGTGTAGGAATAAAACCCCCAATAGGAAGGTTTATGTGATTCTTAATAGTAGTAATTTCTTTCTTTAGCTCTTCCTTTCCTACTTGAGTGCCCGATGTGGAGGACTCCAGTGTGGAGCCTTGAACAGACATGATCCCTTTGATATCCAAAATTTTTGACTCCGTTAGTTTAGCGGGCAATTGGTCTAAGGTCATCCTTCCCTCTAAGTAAGGCTATTTATTGATACTATACTATTGTGTGTGAATAATGTGTCCTATGACTGACTATTCTATAATGTATACAAGGAAGTAAACTTCATAGCCTACTCACAGGGGTTTGTGTTTGTTCCTTTCAAGTCTAGTGCGATACGAGAATTTCTAACGACATTTTGATTGAAAGATAGCAGAGTCTCAAGAATGTCTTCGGATCGGTTTCACAAGTGAGTACATGCAATTAATTTTGTTCTATCTTATCGCAACCTCACGGCATGCACAAGACTAATTAACGCCTTTGATAACCCCTGCAGAGCCGCTAAAGATGGGCTGCTGGATGTGTTGGCGGCGGCTACCAGGAAGGATACAAATGCCAAGGACAGTGACTCTATGACACCAGTGATGTGGGCCGCCTTTGAGGGACGGCTAGATGCACTGCGTCTGCTGTGTGGAAGGGGGTGAGTACAAGAAACACTACTATTTATTTCCAGCCTCTCTGACCAATCTTTTTCGTTTCCTTGAAAGCGGTGACCCCGACAAATGCGACCAGTTTGGCAATACAGCCTTGCACCTGGCCTCTGCCAAGGGTCATCTCCATTGCGTTGACTTTCTCGTAAAGTTCGGTGTCAACATCTACGCCTTGGACATTGACAAGCACAGCGCCAAGGACTTGGCGGCCATTAATGGAAGGGATGAAATACTGCGTTACCTGGACGTAGCCACTGCCAACTTTGAGGCCAACGAAAAGTGAGAATTGTTGTACCTTTTGGTATACCCCTTTAAGAGTCTCTCCTTATTTTTGTCTAGAAAAAAGTCCAAGGCTCTGAAGGAGGTGGCCGAGAAGAGTTGCGAGAAACGCGTTCGCGAGTACATGAAGCGGCAACAGCAGCGCCCGGATCCCGACTCTGCCGATCACAGTCCACCTGGCGGAGCCATCAAGTCGGGCAATATGCTCTCCACGCTCAAGCAGAAGATCTGGTCCAGCCAAGGCAACCTGAACAAGCCGCCCAGGGATCATGCGCCTCCGCCACCAGCGGCCACAAAGTTCAGCGATCTGGTGGGCAGCGGCAGCAGCAGTAGCGGCGGCTCCACAATAGCCAGTCGAGCGGGAACGGTCCAAAAGCGACCATCGCAGGTCCAGAAGCAGCACAGTAGCTCGTGTCCCCACTCGAAACTAGCCGACGGCGACGGGGACTTCAAGGTCCGAGAGCTGGAGCCAGATGGCAAGCGAACCATCACTTCGCTGAAAGGCCTGCAGCGGGATTCCGAGGTGATGTACGTGGGCACCTTCAGCTCCAACGAGGACAGTGTTGGCAAGCGCGGCAAGATCAGCGATGTCTTCGAGTGCTTGGAGGCCGATGAGCTGGATCACAACGATCAACGCAGTGGCTACAGTTCAGCCTTGGCGCGATCCTTCTCGCAACCGGACATTCTGGGCGACGGTCCGTTGGCCCAGGAACTGAGCGAGGAGATGACCCTGCAGCGACCCGTAGGACTCTTCGACAGACCCACCATGTTGGGCAGCATTGCCTTTAGGCGATCAGTGACCGCTGCCCTCAGCCAGCTGCAACTGCACACGGACACCAGTTCCACGTCCACGATGCGGCACGCGGGCAGTAATCCACCAAAGCCGCGAACTGGTGGTGGCAAGGGCCGTCTGTACCTGAACATTTCCGACGACACGGACTCCGAGGGCGGAGGTCATGACATCTATAGCGACGACGACGACGATGATGATCGAGAGTCGGCGGGCTGTGCCCTGCAGCGATTCCTGGCTGTTTGGGCCTTGGAAGAGTACCTGCCAGTGTGAGTGATCTTGTGAGTTTTGAATTAAGGATTTTTAAACATATTCCAAATGCATTTCAGATTTCAAAAGCAAGAGATCGACCTGGAGACCTTGATGCTGCTAACGGAGGCGGATCTCAAGTCACTAGGCCTGCCACTGGGACCTTTCCGGAAGCTCACCTTCGCCATCCAGGAGCGACGCAATGCCCTGGCCAATCCCGGCCCCCTTGTGGACAGTCGCTTGTAGTTTATCATCAACTATATTCGTTCTATTTGGTCGTAATACTTTTCAACACATTCTACTAGCCTAGTGTACATACTAAATTAAAGCCTAATTTGTATCACCCAAAGGTCTCGTCCACATTCACTTTCGCTGAGGTCAGCCCGCCACCTGCTGCATCAGGTAGAGGTTTGCATAGATGCGGTTGAGGGCCATCAGCTCGTCGTGGGTGCCGTGCTCCACCACCACGCCGCGCTTCAGCACGCAGATGAGATCCGCGTTCCGTACGGTGGTCAGGCGATGGGCAATGGTCAGGCAGGTGCGTCCGGAACGGGCCTCGTCCAGGGCCTGCTGCACCACCTTCTCGCTCTCGAGGTCCAGCGCGGAGGTGGCCTCGTCAAGAATGAGTATCTTGGGGTTCCTCACCAGCGCTCGGGCAATGGCAATGCGCTGCTTCTGGCCACCGGACAGCTGCGAGGTCTTGCCCAGTCGCGTCTCGTAACCCTGGGGCAGGGCACTCACAAAGTTGTGGATGTTGGATTTCTTGGCCGCCTCGATAATCTCCAGCATGGAGACATCATCCCGGAAGTTGTTGCCATACGCAATATTCTCGGCAATGGTGCGGTCGAAGAGCACTGGCTCCTGGGACACCAGACCCAGCTTGGAACGCAGTGTGTCCAGGGGGAAGTCTGTGCTGGGCACTCCGCTAAGGTTGACGGATCCCGAGACGGGATCGTAGTAACGGAGCAGCAGCTGCACGCAGGTGGACTTGCCGGACCCAGAGGGACCCACCAGCGCCACTGTTGTGGACTTCTTGATGGTTAGATTCAGGCCCGACAGGATGGGTGTGCCCTTTCTCGTCGGGTACTCGAAGCCAACGTTCTCGTAGACAATGTCGCCCTCGGATTTCTAGATAGGATATTAAAGATATATTAGAAGACATCTTAATGAAAATCGTTTTGCAAACTCACCTCCACCGTGTTGTAGGGACTCTGTGGGGGATTGGGTTGCGTGGAAGTTGCCTTAAACAGCTCCATGAGACGTCCCGCGGACAGGATGGCATCATTTACATTCGGAGCATAGGCCAAGGCCTGACCCAACATCCAGGAGCCAAAGATCAGGGCCTCCGCCACCTTGATAATGTCCTCGTAGTTCATCTTTTCGTCAGCCACCAGAATGCCACCATAGTACATGGAGATGCCGTAGGCGAGGAAGGGAGCAGCCTGTCCCAGGGCAAAGACCACACCACGGAAGCGCACCTTGCGCCGGCAAGCGGAATCCACGCGATCGATCTGCTGGATATACTGATCCAACACCTGGCGCTCCAGGCCCAAGCCATTAACGGTCCTGATGTGGGTAATGGCTTCAACGGCCACCTGGGAAGCATCCTCGACAGCTGCCTTTGCTTTCTGAGCGCTCTTCATGATAAAGCGGCCCTCCAGGTACACCGATAGACAGACCAGCGGTAGGGTTACGAGCGTGAGGAGTGTCTGCTGCCAGGAGAACACAAAACCGACGACCATGCCGACCACCAGAGTGGCCACTGCCTGGAGCATAGTGCCTACACGGGCTCCAGTTGCCTATTGAAAATAAAGGGATTCCAGAATTAGCCAACATTATGGAGGATACAATAATCAAAGGAAACTCACCCCCTGAACATTAGAGCAGTCGCTGGCCAGTCGTGAACACAGTGCTCCCACCGAATTCTTTTCGTCGTCAAAGTACGCAATGTCTTGGCCCAGGATGGTTCCAAAGGCCCGCTTCCTTAGACGCGTGGTCATCTTAACTCCTGCCGCGGTGAACATGTAGGTCTGGAGCATGTTGCCCAATCCTGCCATCAGTCCAATGCCCACAAAGATCATTGAGATGTTGAGCACCTGGCGGCGCACCTCCTCGTCATCGCCGTTGGAGAGAATGCCAAAGAAGTCACCGAAGAAGAGACCCCACAACGGGAACGTGGAGCCGTGCATGACGGAGGCAATGCTGCCCACCACCATCAGGCGCCACTCGGGAGCATTGAGCTTCATCAACTGGGTGAAGGACACTTTGGGCACCACTTCCTTTTGCTTCTTCTTCTTGTTGCGACGCTGGGAACGACCTTAAATGGGAAATTGTTAAGATGTTAGTATGGATTGTTAAATGTTTCTGAGGGAAATGTATTCTGATAATAAAAATAAATACATTCCTTAGATTGATTCCTTTTTTTATCTTTTAATATAAAATGTCTTTGATAATATCTTAATGTTTCGGGAAATAATCAAATCAAAACAAACCAAACTAGTTTTACTTACATACATCAGACAATATAACAACTTAAGCAGATATACAACGATTTATGGATTATGAAACTACTTCTTTTATCGCCTTTTTTTTATTATTTTTAGTCTAAAAAATGTTCATTCAGTTTAAGAATTCCTATAAAACCATGTCATTTTGTGCACTTTATGATTTTAGTTTTACAAGGTTATGTTCTTTAAATTAGACACAGAAAAAATAGGAACTAAGCTTGAAAAATTATAAACACTTCTTGGGGTAATGAAAATTGAATACCTATATAAAAATTTGGATGAATCCAAATCAAGTAAGTGGAAATAGTTATGTTTCTAGCAAAATTAAGTATTTTAATTTGAAATAGTAATACAAAAAAAAACCTTTAAGATCGAAGTACATTTTAAAAGGCTAAAATATTTTTCTATTTATCCTTCTTTTTTCAAGATGAAAATATTAAAAATAAACAAAAGCTCTCCTAAAATACTTTTCAGTGTAATGTTTTTTTTTAACTTCTGGTACTTACGCTTGCGTCGCGTGCTGGCTCTGAATCCGCTGTCCCGACTGCTGCCCGTCTGCAGCTCCGGCTGTCCGTCCTCCTCCTCATCCTCCTCTTCGTCGTCATCATCCTCACTCTCCTGGTCAGACAGGTTCTGCGTCTTTTGCAGAGGCCGGGCCTCATCCCCCTCCGCCTCGGTGGCCTCCTTCCGCCGCGTGATATTTACGAGGTCGCAGTAGAGACCTTTGCGCACCATCAGCTCCTCGTGGGTGCCCTGCTCCGCCACGACACCGTCCTTAAGGAAGACAATCTTGTCCGCATTGGTGATGGTGGACAGGCGATGGGCAACCACCAGAGTGGTGGGTCCTTGACTGGCCAGCTCCAGGGCGCTCTGCACTCGCTTCTCAGAGGTGGGATCCAGGGCGGAGGTGGCCTCATCCAAGAGGAGCACCTGCGGCTGTCGAACCAACGCCCGGGCAATGGCAATGCGCTGCTTCTGACCACCGGAGATCTGGGCACCTTTCTCTCCCACCTGAGTGTCATAGCCCTTGGGCAGCCTGCTGATGAAGTCGTGGCAGTTGGCCGCCCGCGCTGCCTTCTCGATTTCCGCCTGGGTGGCAGCTGGCCTTCCGTATCGGATATTCTCCCCAATGGTGGTGGCGAAGAGAACCGGTTCCTGGCCCACCACACCGATCTGGGACCGGAGCCAGCCGACGTTGAGTGTGCGAAGATCCCGTCCATCCAGTTTGACGCTGCCCGCCTCGGGATCGTAGAAGCGCTGCACCAGCTGGATGAGGGTGCTCTTGCCGCACCCGGAAGCGCCCACAAAGGCCACCGTCTGGCCCGGCAGCACGTCCACCGTCAGGCCCTTGAGGATCTCCACGTCGGGACGGGCGGGGTACCGGAACCGGATGGCCTCGAAGCGGATGTGTGCGGCAATGCTCTGCGGTCGGTCACCCTTCTCGTCCATGGGATCCACCTGCGACGGACGGTCGATGATATTGAACAGGGTCTGTCCAGCGGCTGTGGCCACGGCGATGGCCTCCACGTGGGGCGAGGCGAAGCCCAGGTTCTGGGCACCCATAATCACAGCGAACAAGACGATGACCAAAACGGCGGGCGTATAGACACGATCGGGTAGATCTCTTTCGTCCAGAATGAGGGTAACGCCATACCAAATGGCCAGGGCCATGCACAGGTAGATGATGAGCCAGGAAATGGCATTGCCCAGTCCCGAATACAGACCCTTCTTGCGTCCCGTGGTCTCCGCAGGGATGAGCAGCTTTCCGAAACGAACATTCTCCTTCTCCTGGCCACTGAATGCGAACACCGTGCGGATGCCACTGAAGACCTCCTCGGCCACATTGGCCGCATCGGAGTAGGCCTTCAGTTCCTTCTCCGCCAGCGAGCCCTGGAGCCGGGCAACAACACTGGTAGCCACAATGATGAAGGGCACACAGCTGAGCACCACCAGGGTGAGTTTCCAGCCGTAGACAAAGGCGGACACGATGCCGATCACAAAGGTCATGATCAGGAAAACCACGATCACCACCTTCTCGCCAATGCCCTCCTTGAGCTTATCCAGATCTCTGAAAGTTTAAATAATATTTAAATGAGATTTATAAGATAACGTCTCTATAAAGTCCTCATCGAGCCAGCATTGAAAGGATATCCAATGAACTAGTGCCGTTGTCATTTCTTCATCAATATATCCTTATACTAATAATTTGGCATAGACAACTGGACTAAGCATATTTCCAAGGTTTTTATGAAAATATTTGGAACTTGTTAAAATGTACAATTACATCACCCTTCAACTCTTAGCATTCAATATAAATTCAAAAAATAATTTTCACAAAAGTATTTAATGTCAAAAAGTGAAAAAACAATTAAAACTTTAACTGAAAAACTAATGTAAAATCCCTTAAAAACTCCCTGTTTTTAGCTCTAATCTCATCTTAATAAACTTAATAAGTAATATCTTGAAATAAATATAAAAAGATGTATTAATAGCTTAAAAAAAGCCTCATATATTATTAGGTTTAGTACTTAGTTGCAATACGCTTGTATGCATTTCAAATAAATCGTAGCTTAAGACTGACTACCCACTCAACAGTCAATCAAAAAACTAAATGCAAATTTCACTCATGAATATGTAACGAGTTCCCCGCCTCATTATTTAATAATTACTCTAGTTCTGCCTATAATAATAACTATTATTGAGATAATTCTCGAATTACTTGTGTTTGTTTGACTACATTAATATAATTAA